CGGACCTTGTAAAGCACCCATATGGTAGGTAGGATAACAGCCAAGCTGCCACGGTCCTGGCAGGGTTCAGACCTTTGTCCTTTGGGGCCCAAAACACATCACAGACAGTGATAGTGATTAACACCACCTGCAATCTGAGATTTGTGATGATGATGATGATGATGATGATGATGATGATGATGATGATGATGATGATGATACTGATGATGATGATGATGATGATGATGACAAGGTTGCACGACAGCCCCACAGAGGGACACTTATGACCAATTAATATAATCGTCAGTCATTTTTCCCCTATTATTGTTCACGATAATCGATGCGTGCTTAACTAGGGGGGAGGGGGGGTTAAAACTCACACAGACAATACATCAGCGTGTAGATGAGTCCACCAGCCAGAAGAAGATAAGCATTTCCGGACTGAAATTCTTCCTGAAACGCCTCCATCACGAGCCCGTAAGATTTGGCCAAACCGCCGAGTAAAAAGTTGGCCACAAATCCACCTAACAGAAATGGGGGAAGGAACAAGTTGGATAGGAGACAAACCAAAGAAAGGTTAACGCAATAGTGGATTGTATCAGGTAGCATGCAGTGAAAAGCGGTGAAGCACTGTTGACAGCTGTTTCGATCTGATTAGGCTTGATCAGCAATGAGCGAATCCAGCGACCCAACTGGGGGAGATCCGAGGGAAATCTTTACGTACAGCAATTACACTGCAAAGTGCTATTTTTTCTACCATTCTTTTGTCACCTGCGATAACAGGGTCATAAATTTCTACGTTTGAACTTGTATAAAGAAGTTGCCGGAAGGGAGGACTGCGATCAGTCAAAGAGCTCTCAGGGGGCGGAGAGATTAGACGGGGGTGATGGAATTCGAACAAACACTTTACTACCACCATCAATTTTCCTCGTGGCTAAGAATGTGTTTTCCGTGCGTGTTGTTCACTGGTGCAAGTACATTATTCTCAGTCCGTAGTAAAAATATATATTCGATTTAACGGGCTTTTGTGAACTGAAAGAATAAAGGTTCTAATAGTAGCAATATTTAATAATATTAATAATAAGACGATTCTGAACTGTAACTGTGCAAGTAGATACAACGGATTGTTACCCAAACTAACCCGGCGTTAACATGTAATGCAGGTCACCGGCGTAATGACCAGACGAGAGGGAAAGCCAAATAGACAC